TGTCTGAGGATGGCCAAGGCGGCGGATGTGATGTGATGAGGTCGGCTCGTTGCGTATTGCGCCGTGAACCGTCTGACCAGGGTGCCGAAGCTGTCAATTGACTCGGCAGGTAGCTGGGTGTACCAGTTAAGCGCGGCCCCTTTGAGCGAGGTCGGAAAAACCCTACACAGAATAGCATTGTTATTGGTGTAGAGGTTTACCTGTGTGGTGTACAGGTTGATGTGTTCGTCTGGGTCTGTCGTGCCGTCGTAGCGATCGAGGTGGAGAGGCTTCCATCCGAGAGGGAATGGCGTCTCCATAATGCCATCCACAAAAGGATGACAGCGGAAGGTTGGTTGATCCCCCGCGACATGAGTAGGAGCATTGGTGACCTCATGGGCCGATTTGTGTGTGGTGCATGAGATCGATGCGTGGCAGGCTTTGGAGTCGGTGTCCTATGCGCTATTGGCGATTGAGAAACTGAGTGCCCCTCTTCCTTGTTTAGGTGACTCGGTTGAGGGGGTTGATCAGAGGTGCGCTGTGGTAGCTGAGCGTGGATACTCTCATTAGGTCTGCTTCATTGGCGGTTCGCATCGCAGCTAGGTCAGTTTCGTGCTTGACACGCATGTTTTGCAGATCGGCGGTGTGTTGCTGCTGCATCTGCTCGACTTGCTCGATCAACCTTCTCAATGATGCTTCGTTGTCCATGGTAGTTACGTGATCTAGGTCATCTATTGTGCGTCTTCTATGGCCTCTAGTAGAAACCATAAGAGTGGCCGATAAGAGCTGTCTTGATCGGCCCCACGGTGGGCGCCAAATGTTCTTACCGGAAATCTGCTGTAGAGATGATCCTCCGAGTAAGATTGGTGAGCCTCCTTCGCTGGTACGCTTGATGCTCCAAGATGGGGGTGGTACTTGCAAAAGAGACTCCGATGCTAAAGTTAGTGTTTGTGGGTGTATGAGTCTCGTATAAGTAATGCACGTACCTTTATGTGTATTAGGGTTTTGTTGGGCCTTGGGCCCAAGATCAGTTTATGACCTAATTGGATAGCGAGCCGATGTCGCCTAGCCCGTGTCCGAGGTCACTCCGCGCTGTGATGCCGAGCTCAAGCTCGGCATAGCGGTACGGATAGTACAGTATGTATATGCACTACTGCTACACGTGGAGAGGGAAAATTCCTGAATCTATTCCTGAATCTGGAAGTGAAATTGAGAGTGATTTTGATGATGTAGATTTATCTTAGGTAATTCATGCATTAGAATAAATTGCATAGGTGGGAGGGTGTCATTCAGAGATAAAGTGATGGATTCTAGACCAAGTCCTCCATAGAGGGAGCACAAGGACCTTTTGGCAAGTAATCTGGTCAGAGTTGAGTTGGAAGGGGGGAACAGACTCTACCAATAGTGCATGTGGATCCACGTATTCTAAAAGAACTTTGTGCACCATGGAGGGATGTTTATATAGTAAAACTCCTTGGAAAAAATATAGGCTATGTTATTATGCGAGATAGGCTTCAATATCTATGGAAACTTTCTCATGGATTTGAACTGCTGAACATTGACCATGGATATTACATGGTTAAGTATGATGATGAAAAGGATAAGAACAAGGTAATGGGGGGGTGGTCCTTGGATGTTATTTGACCATTATTTCATAATCTTCCAATGGAGTTTGGATTTTGTATCCTCGAATGCTTGTGTGGATAAAACTTTGGTGTGGATAAGGTTTCCAAGTCTAAATGTGGCATTTTATAATGAGGATTTCCTCATTGCCCTTGGTTCAGTGGTGGGTAAACCAATCAAGGTTGATCAGAACACGTTCAGAGTTGAAAGAGGAAGGTTCGTAAGGTGTGTGTTGAGATTTACCTTAGTCAATCGGTCATTGGTAAGGTGAAGGTTGGATCTAACTAGATAAATATTGAATATGAAGGTCTTCACATAATTTGCATTGCATGTGGATGTTATAGTCACTTGCAAAGGGACAACAAAATTCATCCCAAGGCGGTCGAGGCTCCTTCGTAGTTGTAAAGGGGTGATTCAGTGGTGCTGGAGTCTGATGGGTCTATGAAGTCAACACCAGAGGAAATATCTTTAAATTCTGGTTATTCTAAGGAAGTAGGAAAAAAGGATCCATTATCCTCCCTTGCCACCAATGGTTTTAGGATCACCTCCAAAGGCAAAGAATTTGCTATAAATAAGGCCATTAATACTACGCCCCCTGGCCATTTTGTGTTTAATGGGTCAAAAACATCCCATGAGTCCATGTCTTTTCTGTTCAAGAAGAAGTGACCTCGAGTCTCTAGCCCACAAGAGGTCAGCATCGAAAAACTAATTGAGAATGCCTCAAAAGCCCGAGTCCATGTTAAAGAACGACAAGGCCTTACTATTGGCAGTGGGGTTAATCATGGCCCAATTTTGATTAAGATAACCCAAGAGAATAACACTTCAATCCTTCTTGTTGGCTGTGGTCATGGGGGTATCAAGAAGACACATCCACCTTTATAGTTTGACCGTGGTAAAGGGATCCTCTCAACCATGGATGTGAGGGTCATATCCGAAAATCACTTATAGTTCGTGGATGGAGATGCTTCAACAATTAGTGGGAAGAAGGAAGAGGCTGCCCCTCAAGCACAAGAAGCTATGATTACGGGTGTTGAGTAAGGACTACAAGGAAGCTCCCCTAGAGCAATTGGATAAGAATGAGACACCATGCCCAACCATGCATATGGGATAGTGTCTCCATATTTGTTTAGGTTCGTCTTTTTTTTTGTGTGTTTTAATGATTGAATTCGCAGATACTTCTGTTTTGAGTTGGAATGTGAGGGGTGCAATGCACCCTAAAGGCCATAGATATGCCAAGTCTTTGATTTTGCGTTATAACCCAAGCATTGTTATCCTTATTGAAACCCATTGCAAATTTAGCAAAGCTGAGTCTTTTTGGCAATGGCTAGGTTACCACCCACTTGAAATCTCGCAAGCTTAAGGTCATGTAGGAGGGATTTGGGTTCTTTGTGAAAAATCTTGCATTCGCAAAACTCTTACGATTGATAGACACCCCCAAGCAATCACGTTTTCTCTCCAAAGAAACACCAAGGTTTGGACTTGTACTGTAATATACGCTTCCCCTATTCCGACCTCTTGTCATGGCCTTTGGAGTCACTTGGCCCAGATTAGGGGTAGAAGTATTAACCCTTGGCTTTTTGTGGGTGACATGAATGACATCTTACTCCTATCAGAAGTTAAAAGAGGTATGTTCCGTGCCAATATGGCTAGCTGTTTTGCTTATATGTTAAATGATTATGGGTTAATGGATTTAGGCTCGGTGGGTGTCCACCTTACATGGGCTGGTAAATCTCCTCATAACATTCAGATTTATAAATGTCTGAATAGGGCCCTTGCGGATAGCAATTGGAGAACTTCTTTCTCTAAAGCTTTTGTGGAAGGCCTTCCTCATTTGCACTCATATCACTCCTCGTTACTTATTTGTTGTGTAAGGATATAAGTCAATAAGAAGAATAAATTGTTTAGATTTCAGGCAGCATGGACGCTTCATGAGGAATATTCTAAGCTTGTTTAGGACACCTAGAGGGAGTTTAGTGGTGATGTGAATCAAAAGCTTGTCAAGGTAAAAGAGGAGTCCATCCTTTTTAACTCTAATGTGTTTGGTAATATTTTTTTTTGCAAGAAATGGAGGTTGGAGAACCGTTGAAAGGTGTTCAAGACGAGCTAAATTCAGCCCAATCTTATGACATGATTGTTGAGATTAGGGGAGATTGAGATTGTTGAGATCACCTCTGGAGATTAAAGGTTTTGATGATAACAAATGTGTGGAACAAAGCTGACCAAGGACATCAACAACTTAGGAGTCAAAAACAAAGTCAAAGAAAAATGTTATGTAATAGGAGTAGCTTATAGATTGCTTTGATTGAGTTTATTTTTTGTATGTGCTTTGTGCATGAGCTAATCTGTATCTAATCTGATTAGGGGTGTGTATGATGATGAGTTTAAAAGGTTAAAAAGTTATTTTGAGACTTAGAATAGAGTTTTGAAAACTAACTCAAAATAATCGATTATCATTAAATATAATCGATTATTCCAGTAACAGGTAAAAAGGATACCTTGCTGCAATAATCGATTATTTGTGAAATAATCGATTATCCCAGAAATGACTCTCTGGAATAATCGATTATCCAACAAATAATCGATTAAATTGTTCTTGGTTGATTTCCAGAAATCATGAAGAACAAAATAATCGATTATTCTTTAAAATAATCGATTATCTGGTTCTGAAAAACTTATAAATAGTTTGAACATTTTGAAACTTCAGAACAAAGTTAGAATTGAGAATCAAAATTAGAAAAACGTGTTTGTGAAGTCTTTGTGACAATCTTGGGGAGTTTTCTTTGTGAAACCAAGAAGAAAAACGTTTTTGAAATGCTTTGAGAAAAGATCATCATCATCATCACATTCTTGAAAGGAAAAAGATTAAGATTTGCTTCTGAATTCCAGGTGAATTCGTTCCTTAATTCTTTGTGAATACTTGTAAATCTTGAGTAGGTTTCTCAAGTGGTAAGGAATTCTTGTAGTGCGTTTCTACAAGGGGTGCTTTCTTGGGGTCAAGAAAATGGTTATCTTGAATGTAGGAGTATATGCATGTGTGGTATGCTTGTAAAACTTCTTCATTAAGATAGTGGAACAAATTTTGATCAGGTTATGATTGAAGACTGGATGTAGGTCACATGTGGAGTGGCTGAACCAGGATAAAAGACTTGTGCAATCTTCTCTTACCCTTATCTCTTACTTTGTGTAATACCTTGGTTGTATATTGAAAAGATTGTTCTTGATTAACATGTTTGCATGAGCAACATTGGTTTGAACTGAATCAAAACATTACATATTGTTCTTAACTTTGAATCTCATTATTGGTTAATCAAGAAAGCATATAGGATTCATTCTTCATTAACAAGTCTTTAAGAAACTTCTTTGAAAATTCATTTTAGAAAAGTTTGAATTGAAATAAAGATCCTAAAAACTGAAAATTTTTAAAGTGTCATAGAATCCAATTCACCCCCCCCTCTTGGATTGAGCCATTCTTTTCTAACAATGATCCGCTTAGAATCCAGTCTTCAAATTGAGTACTTAAAGGTGCTCAAACAAGAAGAAACTCTATGGTACCAAAAATCAAGAGAGAAGTAGATCTATCTAGGTGATCGTAATACTAGATTCTTCCATACTCAAGCCTTGGTGCGAAGAAAGCCGGATAAAGTGCACGGCCTCTTCCTTAATGATGACACTTGGTGTACTGATGATGTTACCTTGTAGGATGAAGCCTTGCATTTCTATCACAACCTCTTTAACAATCAACAAGATGATTCTGTTAGGAATCTTTTCATTAATGTCTCTATGCCCAAACTCAACACTAATGGGGTGAACACTCTTCTAACTCTTATTAAGAAAGAGGAGGTACACTATACTTTGTTTGGCATGCACCCCTACAAGGCTCTGGGTTCAGATGGTCTCCAACCTCTATTCTTCCAAAAATATTGGCATTTGGTGGGTGATGAAGTGCATAGATTGGTGGCTGAAGCATTTGCTCTAGGCTATTTGCAAGGCTCCTTAGTTAAGACCATGCTAGTTTTGATGCCAAAGGTGGAGCATCCTATCTATCTCAAGGAATTCTACTCGATCAGTTTATGCAATGTTGTATATAAAATTGTTACCAAAGTCTTAGTGAACAGACTCTGACCTTACCTTAATGAGCTAGTTAGGACTCTTCAATCTAGTTTTATCCTAGGTAGAGGGACGACATATAATGTTATCTTGGCTCATGAAATTGTTCACTACATGAAGAAAACAAAATCTAAAAAGGGTGTACTAGCCTTTAAAGTGGACTTGGAGAAAGCTTATGACAGGGTGAATTAGGACTTCCTAGAAAGAACTTTGATGGATTTTGGCTTCCCTACTCTAACAATCAAGTTTGTTATGTGGTGTGTTCGCTCCTCTAGTTTATCCATTATGTGGAACAAGTCCAAATTGAACAAATTCACTCCTAGTAAGGGCCTTCACCAAGGAGATCCCATATCCCCATATCTTTTTGTTTTGTGTATGGAAAGATTAAGCCTCCTTATCCAACATCAAGTCAATGAGAGAAAATGGCTCCCCTATATCCATTTCTAGAGGAGGACCCCCTATTTCTCATCTAATGTTTGTTGATGATCTTCTTTTCTGTAAGGAAAAGTGTTCTCAAGTCCACTTTGTTTACATTACATTGAAAAAGTTTTGTGAGGAGTCTGGGATGAAGGTAAACTTAGATAAATCCAAGTTGATGTGCTCTACTAATGTGTTAAGAAGGAACAGAGAATGTTTTACAAATCTCTCATCTATTAAAATGGTTCATGATTCGAGAACTTACCTGGGTTTCCCTCTCCCTCATAGTAGAATGTCTAAAACTCATTTTGATCACATTCTAGAAAATATCCAATCGAGGCTTGCAGGATGGAAATCTCGATTACTCAGTTGTGCTAGCAGGTTGTGTTTAGTTAAATCAATTGTTGCCTCTATTCCAGTTTACACAATGCAAACACTTTGGGTGCCTTAAAGTGTGTGTAACAAGATTGATAGCCTTATGCGGAGTTTCATATGGGGTACGAGTAATTGTAACAAAAGCTGGAACCTAATCAATTGGGACAAAATTACATTACCAAAAATTTATGGTGGTCTTGGGGTTAGAGAGGCTAGATTATCTAATGTTGCCATGTTGGGTAAATTAGCTTGGAATATTATCAAGGAGCCCAATAAGTTATGGGTTCAAGTTCTGTCTCATAAATACCTCAAAGGCAGATCTCTTTTTGATTCTCCATCTAGGTGCTTAGATTCTTATTTCTAGAGAGGACTTCTACGAGCCTTTTCTATCCTTAAGGATGAATTTTCTTTTCATATTGGTGAAGGCACCTTGTCTTTTTGGTATGAGGTGTGGTTGCCTTTAGGCAAGCTTTGTAATCACGTTTCTTATGTCCACATAAGTGATACTCAACTTGCGATCAAGGATGTGCTTAAGGATGGTTATTGGAACCTTTCTAATCTTGCTACTAGCCTCCCTAATAATATCAAAGATTTGATTCTCTAGGTTGATTCGGGCTTAAGTCCTAACTCCTTTGATACCTAGAAGGTGGAGTCGGGATGATAATGGTAAATTCACTTCCAAATCAGCTTACAGTTGGCTTCTCCTGAATAGCCGACCCATAATAGGAGAAAGGAATTGGCATTGAATTTGGAAAATGAACGTCCCTAAGAAGGTGAGACTTCTATTTTGACAGATTATGCATAAAGTCCTTCCTACCAATAAGATGAGACTACATTGCAATTTGACTACCTTTGCCTCTTGCAATCACTATTCTTCTCCTTTGGAAAATATCTTCCATTGCCTTCGTGACTGCCCCCATGCGAAGGAGATTTGGTTGCGTTTGAATATTTGCTCTCACCCTTCCTTCCATTCGGACAGTTTAGATTTTTGGTTGAAGGAGCTAGCTAATAGCAACCTGGGAATCCTTTTTGCCTTTGCTTGTTGGTGGATTTGGAGATGGAGAATGAATATAATTCTTGATCCCACTCCCTAATATATTGAGTTGCTGGCTTTAAAAGAAGGTCTGATGTTGGCTTGGAACAAAGGATTAACTTCTTTTCCCTGTGAATGTGATTGCTTGGAAGTGGTCCAACTCTTTTCATAAGATATGGACTACACTCTTCAATTCATCCTGAGCTAATCTTCCAAGTTAAGAAGATCTTTTTGAGAGATTGGAATGTGTCTATATCTCATGTGTACTGCGAAGCCAATATGGTTCCTGATCAAATATCCAGAATGGGAGCTAGTTCTCAAGATAATGTGTTAGTTTGGCTAAGGCCTTCTAGTAGTGTTGTTGCTCTTTTAGCACATGATGCCTTGTATTATAGGTTTTTTGTTGTGTTAGCCCTTGAGTGGGTCCTTTTGTCTTTTTATTTACTACTTAACCAAAAATCCTTTGCATATGGATTTAATCGATTAAGGGGCTTCGTCTTTCTTCCTTACAAAAAAATCATTCATCCTTTGATGACGATTTAATCGATTACAACAACTGAGTTATGATTTAATCGATTGAATCAAACATTTAATTGATTAAATTTGAAATTTGAATTGATTTTGTTTGTTGACGAGTGTCGTTAATTGATTATCAAATAAAAAGATGTGAGACGTTATCAAACACACTACTCATTTAATTTATCATGTATTTTGTTACTTTCTCTCATTTTTTCAGTATTTCAACACTATCAAATATATGCTTAAGCTTATTATATGAAATGTTCTTACCGGAAATCTGCCGTAGAGGTGATCCGCCGAGTAAGATTGGTGAGCCTCCTTCACGGGTACGCTTGTTGCTCCAAGATGGGGGTGGTACCTGCAAAAGAGACTCTGATGCTAAAGTTAGTGTTTGTGGGTGTATGAGTCTCGTATAAGTAATGCACGTACCTTTGTGTGTATTAGGGTTTTGTTGGGCCTTGGGCCCGAGATCAGTTATGATCTGATTAGGATAACGAGCTGACATCACACAGTGCGTGTCCGAGGTCGTCCTGCGCTGTGGTGCCGAGCTCAGAGCTCGGCTTCGTAGTACGGATAGTACACTAGCCCCCCGAGCTTCGAAGACCGTAGGTCGAGGAGTTAAGACCAAGATCGTCAGGGGGCAGTGACCTTTCGCGTATGCTTGCCTGTCAAGATGCCATGTGTTGCAACTGTCGTCTCGTTCTCGAGAACGTGCAGGCGGCGTGGTAACAAGATTGTATTTTTATCTGTTTGATGACGTTGCCTCTTTGGGCCGATGTGGTATTCCGATGTCCATGCTTCATGGCCGAGCTGAGGAACTCGGCAATGATGAGTTTA